CTCTCATCCCTTTGTGAATATTATAAAACAATTACTTCATTGTTTTGAGTAATTAAAGATCACAGTCATGGCCGTAACCAGGATTTTTGAAATACCGAGGTCAAATATTGCAGTAAATCTTACTTGACAAAAAACATCTTAATATGGTGACTTTTAAAAATATATTTTGGAAACGTGAATAAAGATAGTTAAATCACAATAAAAGAGAGTTAAATCACAAGTCCATCAAGGAGGTGAATATGAACATGTTTATTATAACAATTCCAAAACTCACAAAATTAGAGTATTTGAGTGAGTGAGTGAGTGAGTGAGTGAGTGAATGAGTGAGTGAGTGAGTGTAGTTGTTATTAATATTGAATTATTATTACTACTATTAGTATTTTCATCATCATCACCATGCATGTGCATGGGCTACAAAATGAATCAAATGACTTGCAATAATATATTGTGGACTTAATTTTTTTTTAACAATGAGAATGCATGCTGATCTTTACACCAGTCAAAGTCAGAACAATTTTCAACATATAGTTTGACATTTCTCATCAGCCATGATCGTATAGTGGTTAGTACTCTGCGTTGTGGCCGCAGAAACCCCGGGTAAAATCCGGGTCACGGCATGTGTTGAATGTGTGTAATAAAGTAATTTCCCTCTGGCATTATTAAAAAATATCTGATTCTCTGAATAAAAAATAATAATATTTTTTCAAAAACTGGGAAAATACCGAGGACATGACCTCGGTTTTTCTCAATCTTGGCTACGGGTCTGATCACAGTAAAGTTCTTTTCAGTATCATTATCGTTTGATTATTAGTGAGGGTTTTTTGTCGTTGTTGGGTTTTTTTTGTCAGCTGTCTGTTTGCCAGGAAGTAGGCGGACCACCATATCGAGACGTCAGCGCTTACGTCACTTGTCTAGGGGTCTCTTTGTCAGAACTGCGCATGCGCGCTGTATCCTGCTCCGTGTGTTAGCAACAACAAAAGTAAAGCCGGAGCAGAGTCCGCTGTCAGCAGCATCTTCTCTCCCGTCCTCTGCCGCCGGGCTCCGCTGGCTGAGAGGATGCTTAAGCAAAACGGAACCCGGAGAAGCGAATGACATTTGTTAGACGATGGCACCCCAGTTCCCATACGTGTAAGTAAAGGCAGCTGGAGCTAACACACAAACAGCTAACCATAGAAGAAACACGCAGAGACAGCTGGCTAGCCGCGGTAACAGCACCGAGGGAGGCTGCTGGGTGTTTTTCTAGGGGCTGTTGGTGGTAACGCTTCTCCCAAAATAAACCGTTTTTTTAAACAGCTGAGCTGTAAACGGGTTAGAGCGAACATAAAAGCTCATAACTCGCAGCGTTTATGCACACCTCCCCATTGTTTGGTTGGTGATCCATACAAACTGTCAGCGGGTTTGAAACAAAGGAGCGTTAAAAAGAAAAAGAGAGAGACCGAAGTGGGGCCGCATGGTCAAACACATGAAGAGAGAAGTGGGCTGTTTGCTGCTCCATTTCTGGATGGAAACCAGCCGAGGTCTGACCTGGATATGTAGCTGATCCACTGTGACTAGGCTAATTTGGCTAAAAGTCGCTCCGTGTGTCATCACAGCTGCTTCAACAAGTTTTATAACTGTTTGGACAAATAGACTTTGTTAAACTACAGTTAAACTGTAGCAGATGAGGGGATTATTCACCATCCTGTTATTGTTTTATGAGGCGAGGAGCAGTGAAGGTGGTTTCACTTACAAAAAATGCTATTAACTTGATGTTATTCTTGGATTCCACTTATATGACTATATAAAAAAAATCTTGTTAAGTATTAGTCTTAGTTAATAACGGATTATTTATTCCCAGACCTTGATTAGTATTAAGTAATAAGGAACAAAATGTTTTTATTATAACCACTATAACTGAAGTAACTCTAAAGGACTTTATAAAGAGATGCATAGTAACACAATGCTGCCCCTCCTCCACTTATTGCTTCATGTTGCTTTCTAGCTAATTGGAAGAACTGTCTTCACTTTTCTTTTCCTCAAAAAAAAAAGGTAAATTTTCCTGTTCGGTGTTTCAAGGTAAAGTAAAGAAGCTGAATGACTTATTGGTTTTACCCCATTTAGGTGTTGTTATATGCATACTGCCCAGTGTAGCAAATAACACAGATATGAAACCTGTGATTGGTTGGGATATATAAGGCAGCAAGGTAAGTGCTGTGTCCTCAAAGCAGATTTGTTAGAATACAAAAACAGCAAAAGGCAAGCATCTAAGTAAGGCTGATAAAAGCTAAGTGTGTAAAATTGTAGTTCTTATGTGGTGTTCCCAGTCTGTGATGGAAGAGGAAGGAACTGGCAACAAGGAAACTGTGAGCCATGGCCACTGATGCATTTTGAGGAGCAAAGGCTTCCCCAACAGGTTATCCAGTAAGCTCACTTTACTGTGAAAAATAATGCTGGTTCTGATGCATGACTGGTTTCAAATCAGGAAGTCTGTTAAGCAGCCAGCTGGATGACTGAGTAGATAACCCTAAAATGTTAGTTTAATATAGGCTACTTGTGACAATGAATGAAGGGCAGAAATGCAAAATGTTTAGTATGGATTTCTTTCTGTCTTTATTTTCCTGAATGTAAAAAAATTAAAGGAAAATAATGTGAAGCATTTGTTTCTTAACAATTTAATAATTGTTTTTTATTTGATCTTTAGCAGCAATAGAAATAACTTGTTTCCCTGAAGCTGGGAGATTTTGTCATTTTATTTGTTAATCATAAATCCGGATATGAAAAAAATAACACCTTAAACATACTTTAAACCGCAGTCTGAACTAAACCTTGATACTGTCTCTGTGCTTGCATTTGATCAGTTTTCTGATTGTTGCTTAAAGATCACGACAAATTGACAAAATTCATCCAATCATCAGTCTTTCCTCTAGTTTTGTTTTCTTAACCTATTCCTAAACAACTGAGTGGGAACTGTTTAAATCAGGCTCGAGCAGCCTGCTGGAATAAATTAAACGTATTACTCTTTGTGGGTTTTTCCATGATAAGCTTTATATATCTGCTTTCTACACTGAATAGTTTGCAGGGAATCGGTCCAATGTTTCTGACCACTGGGTGACGTGTTCCTCTTACACTGCATTATAACTTTCAGGAAGGCCGCCAAGTTCAACCTGTGTAATCCTTGGAATTCCTAGGTTCCTTCTTCACTAGACTCCCTGCCCTTATTTAGTAAAAGAGGCAGAGAGGGTGAAGTGAACTGGAAGTAAATTGTTGTGCAAAAAAAAAAAAAAAACAAAGAGGGAGGGAGGCAGACAAGCTGACCCATTAACTGTTGCTACTGACTTCACCAGTCTGGTTCTATTGAGAAGCAGAATGTTTCAAGAGAACTTAGAAATGTTCTCATTCTTGGCAGCTTCATCGTCATGTGATTGGGGGGGGGCTCATTGAGACGTTTCAAAGCTCAGGCAGCAGGCAGCCAACTGTAGCTGGCCTAAAGAAAAAAAAAGGGGTCTTTTTGTAAAGACCAGACAGATGGCTATAGACTGAGGACTGTAATGATACACTCGGCAGCCCAGCACGCACGCAGACCCATGAACACGTCACACACTTCACTCGTTACGGGACATTGCTGTGTGTGTGTGCTTGTGCGTTTTACACAGACTAAACTGTTTCTAAGGAAGAGGGAGAGGTGGGGAGGATCAGGAAGGAAACGAAGCAGAACACGTTGATAAGGACGGTGATTATGTACAACATGCTACCAGAGGAAGACGCTGTGTTTGTTTGTGTTTGTCTCCCTCTCTGTTTGTCATATCTAAAGGAAAAGTCTCATCAATGAGAACAGATCAGAGGATTAACATTGCTGGGATAAAGATATTTGGCTTCATTACAGATTTTTTTTTTTTTGCTCTTGTCACTTAAAAAAAAAAAAAAAAAGTAAGTAAAGATAAGCTGATAAAGAAAGCTCTCTAATCCAACCTGGCATCTCTGTCTGGACATAAAGCAAAAATGATGGGACTCTTTTTAATATCAGCGTTTCTGTGGGAGCAGCCATTGCTGTGATTTTTGGGTTTAGTGCCGACCAGAGAAAGTAAAACTGCTCCGGCTCGGTGCATCAGTGCTGCATGGTTTAACTCGTTCTCAGACCTTCAGTGCCTGGAAAGTGTATAAACTGTGTAATAATATGCAGCTATTTCCCTCTAGACTCCCCAGTGGCCAGCTGTGGTGATATTGACAATGCTTTTCATCATCTGACTTGCAGATCAATAACGGGTATCATTAACTGACTCTTCTAGCTTCTACCTCTCAGTTCTTATCTTCCTTCCTTTCTTGGTCCTTCTCTCTGTTTTCTTTTATGTCTGCGGAGATAACGTCCTCGCTGCAGAACATCAGCTGATCAATCGATGCGCTGATCGATTGGGGCTCTTTCCCTCCATCTTTTCTTTCTTTATCGCAACTTCAAAGTTCCCTGTCATTTCCTTCATAACCTTTTTTCTTTCTGTTTACTTAGTCCTCCTCCTGTGTGGCACTGTTTCCTCCAATCAATCTCCTGCCTTTCTCTTATGTGCAGGGAAGGAGGATGCAGAAGCATGTTGCTTTAAAGTGTGACCTGCGGTGAACGGGGGAGGCAGAAAAGGAGGAGGAGGAAGAGTGAGGTGTAGGCAAGCATTGAGTGATCTGCCACAGCTCCCAGTAGGGGGCCCACTGCAAGCGGAGCGCAATGGGCAACACGGCCACCAAGTTCCGCAAGGCGCTGGTGAGCGGGGACGAGGCACTGGCTTGGCAGCTGTATGAGGGCAACCCTCAGTTCAGGGACGGCCTGGACCCAAACGCATCATACGGGGAGCAGTACCAGCATAACACACCTCTGCACTACGTATGTCGCCATGCCATGACTCGGCTGCTCAGGTTTGTTATTCACTTTTTTTTTTTTTTTTTTTTTTTTTTTTTTTTTTTTTACTTTTTTTCAGGCGGATATCAAGAAAAGCAATGAGTCATGAGTGAATTGAGATAGAAAAGAATAGGTTCATCACAGAGATTCTGAATGACGCCACAGTCCACAAGGAAATGTATCAGCCTTGAGTTTAAAAGAAATGAAATCTCACTTAATTTGTTATGAAACTGCAGTTACGGGGGCAAAAAAAAAAAAAACAGTTGCATCACACGGCGTTGTTATACAATTATCTTCCATTACTAATTTAATCCCTGAAAAAAAAGATCTCATAAAACTTTAAGGTAAGTTGATCAGAGACACTGATCAGTAAGCTTTTTGTTTCCCCTCAAACAAAACTACACCCTAGAAACGTCCTTGACCTTAAATCTCCCACAGCTCGGTCTGCGTTTTATTTGCCACTGTGTTGCAGGTTTTATTTTCCCTGCTTTCAGAGTTATTTCTTATGTAACTGCAAGTTTCACTACCAAGGATATAACCTCACATTTAGGTGAAAATTACAGAAATGCATGGCAGCCTTGTGGTAAGCCCAGATCATCATCCCTGCACCACCATGCTTCTTGTAGATATACGTTATATCTCCTGTTTGCTTTCCACTAAACCTGCTACAGTGTATTATATGTCACCAGTTATATTTCATATTTTAAAAGGAGACTATTCAATAAGACTTTCAGTTGGTTAAAATAAGGTGAGAAAAAAGGTCTCATTTAATCAATTTCAACCAAACTACACTTCTCTGGTCTTTCTATCTTTTTGCTATCATGAAACTGAGCTTTTATCCTATATATGAACCTGAAGAGTTTACATTTTTTGATGATTTCTTTCTCTTCTGAGAGCTACAGTAGCTAATCTTGGAGATTTTCCTGGAACATCCCCTCCTTAGAAGAATGCTTATGACCTAAGTTTAAAATGACGAAGCTGGTCTCTGGTTTGTACTTCCACATTTGCTGTTGCTGATAAGTAATTGATTAAATGCGTTTTGCTACTTTATCTTTAAAATACATTAGCAGTCTTCTTTTTTTCATTAGTGTTTATCTGAATAAATACTGATCTGAATAAAAATAATCTAAATATGTACTATTTTCAATTTAAAAAGAATAAAAAACACAGAATCTTTAACATTATATCAGTTCAAACACCCCTGCAAAGTCACAGGGGTCCCTGTCACGTACGGTTTGGATATCGCCAGCCATTCTCTATAAACAGTCGCAAACGGCACTTGGCAAGTTGTTTTAAACTGCATTTATGAAATGAGTTTGCAAAGAGCTTTACAAACATCACTGCACTAATGCTGAGTGCTGCTAAAACAAGATCTACAAGATAGAGTAGCCGTTACGTAAGAGTATGAAAACAGTCTTCCTGGGTAGCAGTTTAGAATATATTGTTATAACTATGGTTATAACTATTATTTTTCGAAATCGAGTAATAAATAATGCAAATCATTTTTTTGATTTAATCAATTAATAAACAGATGGCCAAAGGTTCCTTAAAGAAGACTTTTTATAAAATGAAACCAGGTGAATCTAGGACATTTCCACTTGAGGGGATCTAGATAGAGCAAATTGACAGACACATTTTTTTTTTATCTTAAATTCAAGATGTTTACATAGTTTTTTTTTTTTTTACACTTTTGGTATTGTTACTGCTCTAACTGGGTTGCTCTGTCAGCTAAAGACATGTTTTAGAGTCTCTACACTCCAGTTAATCGATTACTAAATTAGTTCAATAATCGATTAATCAAGATTAATCCGATTGATTGTTGCAGCCCTAGTTAGGACATCCAAATAATGCCGGAAGATATGGTGGCCCGCAATTATATCAACATATCGACTATTCGATTTTTGTTTCTTTGGTTTTTTTTTGGGGGGGGCTTTTGAGTCGATGTTTTAGTCTATCTGGGTATTTCTTTCTGCTTGGAAGTCTGATTTTCTCAGCTAATTGCTTGATTTGGAGGCTGAGCAGTAATGGTTAAGAGTCTTCAGAGTTTCTCATTTAAGTTCAGGTAGTGACTTTGACTAGGCCATTCTAGCTTAACGATATGCCTTAATCTAAGCCATTCCATTGGAGGTCCGGTTGAATTTTTACTGTAATTGTCCTCAGAGTGGCCGGTGTTGAATAAAGGGGTCTTCTTACGTCCTACTTTCTCCTTGAAACCCTTTCAGAAATCTTGCAGTTGTAAAATATAAGAACCCACCATATACTTAAAGTTATAATTATCGCAGTATGAATATTCAAGTTGGGGAAGGACTGCTTGGACTGAAATAAATATTGGCTAATGAAAAAAGTAGCGTGTGGAACCCCAACTAAAATGGTAAAAATTAAACAGATGCAAACATGGTTTTATAAAACCATGTTTGAAGATGTAATTAACATATATATTTTGTCAGAGATCTCGGTTGTTAGACCCTGAGGTGTAGTACAGCACCTCTTTATAAGCATTACTATACCTGTCTATATCTCATTAGCATTGTGTTACAAGCTGAAGATGTGGAGAAAGATTTAATTAAGCCGACGTCTGAACAAGGATTTATAAAAGACGGATCCGTCTTTCTTTTCTTCATGGATTATATTCACTTTTTGATGTAGGTTGTGCTCATATTTTAGGAACAATTTCTTCAGGGTCTTCTCTACTTAATGAAAGTACGACGTTGAATCTCCACAGCTCCCCTGTAAGAGTATTATTAGATTGTAATCCTCTGCATTGTGCTGTTGGGAGTCTCAGTTTCTTCACATTCGATTAAAGTATCTGCTCATGAACAACTGGTCTGACAACAACACTGTCAAGACAAGAGGCCTTAAGCAGCCCTGCTACGTCTTAAGTCAAAATATAATGGTCAACCTAAGGAACAAATGTGGATTGAGACATCAGTGTGTTGTTTTTTGTTCCTCCTGTAGAGATTTTTTTTTTTACTGCTGGCAGAGACAGCTGGATATTTAGTCAGGGCCTTTTATCTCCTCCTTAGCCTTTCTTTCCACCATTCAAACAGGAAGCTGTTTGAAAAAGCCAGTCAATTATATGTGCATCTGCATGTGTGCATGAACATTTAGGTTCTGTGGGGGGATAAATCAAGGGCTGCTTAATGTGTCTGAGAACATTGCACACGGCGAATCAATTGGTGTGCTATTTGTGTTCCTTTCCACTAACCTATAATAGGCCTGGGAGGCGTGCTGAATGTTGCGCTCCCTTCTGATAAGCGTTGCAGGAAATGCTTCTTTGTTCCAGCAGGCTCACTTGGACGGAGACAAGCGGAGAAATCTCAGACAAAATACGGACTAATATAAGAAGACAGGCTGGGTGCACAGTTAGGGTTTCTTTTTTTCCCCCCTTTCCTAAATTATTTTTAACACGTCTCGTTCATTCTTAGTCATGCTTCTAAAGTTGGCTTGTGATATATTCCTCTGAGAAAACTGAGGGAAACAAACACAACTTCTATAGGAAAAAGGACGAAGATCAGGAACTGTAACCTTAATAACCCTTTCTACTCATTAAGAATTTTAAACCTTCATTTCCCACAGAGTCCTATAAATTTTTACCCCACGTTTTTCTAAAAGGTGACCCCCGACAGCTGTTTTCCAAGTTGGACTGAACTCTGTTCAGCTCGAACGGAGGGCTTTTGTGCATGCAAATGTGTTGAGGTCCGGGGTATTGGTTTGGAGCTGAGAGGGAATAATTAATGCTTATTACTGTGCGAGTGAACTGGCTTTGTGCTGTGATTATAGCAGGCTGCAGGGGCCTGTGGCTGACAGGATAAGTGGGTCGAGCGGGGAAATGCAGGGCTGCATATTCGGAAGCACTTTTGATACTTCTGCCCCATTCAGACCAGGAAATGAACTGGTTGTCCTGGATGTTCTGATTACATCCAGGTAGAAGTTAAACACAGGTGTGAACACACTCACGCTCCCGACTGTCTTTGTTTGCCAAAGTAGGGAGATAGTGGTTTATATAGCTACCATGGGAGGGGTGATTTAGTGGTTTCGATTTCTTTTTTATTTTATTTTGTATTTTAAGTTTCTGGTTTTTGATCTGCGCTCTGACTTAGACCAGTTCAATTAATGGTCCTAATCACTCATCTTTTAAAAGAGTAAGCATGACAGAAGGGTGTGATATTTAATATTCTTACCAAAAATAATACCCTGCTAAAATCAATTAACTTGCAGTGGGGTTGTAATTGTTCATTTGTATAATTTAGTAACAATATTTAACCGTCAGAAGATATTTAGTGATATGCTGCTGTAAAAAAACATCAGCTGGATAATAGGGAAGCAGACGGAGCAAACAGGAATTTTTTTTAGTAATTTTGCCGATCCAATGGAGACGGCTTTTTATTAGCTTGCCATGCTAAACTTCAATATTTGATGCCAAAGACAAGTTTAAAAAGTCACCTTCTTTGTTCTTCTCGATTTATTTTAGAAAGCGCTATATATAGATTTTATTCAATGCATTGTATGTATGTATTTTTTTCATGATTGGTATCGATATGTTGGTGATTTAAAGGGATCATAGAATGCAAAACTGAGTTTTCATCATCATGGATGAATAACGTTAGTTCAGTGGGTGAAATGGACGTACAGAGAAGTTCAAACCCCATCGACTCCTCCTTTCTCTCCAAATCTCACAATTCTTAACTTCCACCATAACACAGGCGAATTCAACAGGCTTGTTTTAGGGCTCATAGGACAGCAAATATGCCATTTTCAGCCCAACCAATGTTACACACCCCATTCAGAGACCTTAAGGACCAGCCCCAAATGCCCTATGTAATCAACGGCAATGTTAACAAGTTATATTGTTAGTGAGCAAAATTTTTATACTGATGCACACCTACATTTTTTTTTCTTAGCCATTATTTTATGCAACAGCTGTTACAGATGTGGTGTGACATTGGAGCTAATTTAAATAATAACCTAATTTTAACCATCATTCTAGAGATTTATTTCTTTTTTTTAATCTCTTTTTGTTTTGTTTTTATTCTCAAATTATTTCTTGTTTGCAACACTGGGACATTAGGATGCAAATGCTTTTTAGTGGCCTCCCTACAAAAATGTAAATTTACATTATTTTACTTTAAAATATTCAGTTTTAAATACTTTTTTATGTTTTATTATTATTATATTTTTTTTATGAAGGGTGCTGAGCTGTTGAGTATCTTTGCTTCAAAAAGGAAAATAGATGTGGAGAAATACTAATAATGATGTGGAGAAATACTAACAACAAACGTTTTCATGTGTTTGTTGCACATATACAGGAAAATATCTTCTGGATCATTTGGATCCAAAGATGGTTCTGGTGAGCGAATCATCTAGGATAGATTTTAAGGACATTGTGAGGCTTGTCTGAATAACCTATTGTGAGTTAAACTGTCACATTTTAAGGGGAATAGACTTTTGATTTTTTGTAATCTGTTACGTCTTGTTTCATTTCTTATAAAATTGGAATGAGAAAGACTCTTAGATCTAAAAGAATCAGGTTATCTGAGTTCATCCTTTTGCGTTGAATAAGCATCACGGTGCCAAATAAAAGCTCTAATCTGTAAATGGGGACTTTGACAGACAAACGGCAAAAGGAAAACTATTTGCTAAACAGAACTACAGCAACATCCTGACTCTTGCAACAGGCTCATTCGTTTAATCCCCATGTGTCAGCCAGCATGACAATTATCTCAGAGATGTTGAACAGAAATGGTCGATATTTTATCATTTTGCCTCTCCTCCTTCTGTCTGCTCTTCCTCTGGAGTGTTCTGACATTTCCGGGCATCTGTGTTATTGTTCTTTCTTGTCTTGTATTTTCTTGAGCCTTCCTTTCCAGATTATTTCTTATTTATTCCTCCGACACACTGTTTTTATTCTGCGTTTCACCTATTGTCTTCTCTCTTGGTTGCTCCAAATAGGTCGTTCCTGTTCAGCAAAGAGGGAAACCCAAACAAGCGTAATGTGCACAATGAGACGTGCCTCCACGTGCTGTGCCAAGGCCCGCAGATCCTGCTTCTGCCAGAGGGAGCGCTGTCTCCGCGGCTGGCCCGACCGCAGAGGGACGAGCAGCGCCGCTCAGACTGCCTCCAGGTACGACCAAACCAATGAAACCTGGTTTACACGCTCTTTCAACAAAGTTAACAACCAAAAAACAAATGATGTGAGGGCAGATGATCCTGAGCTGGACCGGAGCTAGGCTGGAAAGTGGCCAGTATGAGAAGGCCAACGTGAACGCCACCGACAACCACCACAGCACCTGTCTGCACTACGCTGCTGCTGCAGGAATGAAGAGCTGCGTGGAGGTGAGACTGTAGTTAAGATGACATACTCTTAAAAAAAAACAACACAAAAACTCACCAAGCCAAGCTTTTCATTCACTTTAAAAAATGTTTGTTAAAGTACATGTATGTAACTTGGGTGAAAGGAATTCAATGTCTTCCCAAATAAAACAAGAATGCATTTTTCAGTGCAGTCATTGCTGCGCGTCTTCTGGACCATGTCTCTACCAGCTTTGAACTTTTGAAACTTTCCTTTTATTTATGTTCTTTCATTTTGGATGCAGAGCCGCAGTAAATATCAGCTCATATTAAGACTAGTCAGATTTCAACTGATTCATTCTGCAGCAAACAAAAAGTTGCAGTGCTTTTATTCTGTTTAACCTAAAAACAGCATATTTAATGCTCTTTTGGAATTAACACCATCATATATATATATATATATATATATATATATATGAAAGACACATTATTAAACCTGGAATTAATTATTCTGAAGAGGTCACATAAAATTAACTAATGTTAGCAGAGCTATGGATTTTCTTTAATGTTAAGTTATCCACAAGCTCAAGGTTTTCTTTGTAGATGAAGCTTTATATGAGAGCAGCCTTGTGTCTCAAGTGGGGCTGCTCAGATTTTACTCTTTTTTTTATGTGGCAGATCTAAGAAATGTTATGATTTTCCTTCTGTTACATAAGATTGACTTTGTATTTTGTTGATATTTTGCTTGAGATTTTGATGAAGCACAGTGAGGTTTGTGATATGTGACGCAGGGGTTAAAAAACAGTAGGTTGTGTTTTTATTTTTATTTTTAAATGCTCTCTTCAGTTGTATTTTCTTTTTTTTCTTTTTTTTTTTTTACCATATTTTTCACTAATTTACTGAAATTTAAGGAAAATTAAAGATGCATTTTGCTTATAGGCAGTTTAATGGCCTCTTATTCAGCTGCTGTTTCTACCCCTCTCTTGTCTCCACCCCCACAAAGAGACCCACTTTGGCAGTTTTTCACAAAAAATACAAAAAGTCAAGTTATTCTAGTTTTTAGGTAAGATAAATTTGTCCCTTGAATCTTTAGTGAAAGTGCTTCACTAAATGCTTCTATGGGTAATTTAGTTTTCTCCAGATTTAGTTTTGTTTCCTCTTTAATTTTACCCGTTTTTAGCTGCTGATCCAAAGCGAGGCTGATCTGTTTGTGGAGGACGAGGACAAGCTGACGCCATGCGACCATGCCGAGCGGCACCACCACACCGACCTGGCGCTCAGTTTGGAGTCACAGATGGTTTTCTCCTGCGCCTCGGCTCAGCAGTCAAGCAGAGATGCACACGGTGAAAGCCGCCTGCTGCAATACAAGGAGGTGAGACAAAAGCCACGAGATCTGGGAGTTTCCTGCTGGCCTAAGCTATTTTGAACCTTTCTTGTACCTCTTAAATTTCTTTTTCTACGATTTTTATACTGAGGTCCCTTTTTTCATCGGCAATGCACGCATGGATGAAATGAATGTCATGACAGTTAGACCACGTTTATTGAAGATAGGTTGGTATTTACCTTTTAGACTTTGTCATTATGTTGGCAATAGCAGCAGGGCTGTTGAGGGTTCTTGCATATTTATATCTGCTTAATATTGCAAAAGAGTGTACCTCTAGATACGCATCTATAGATGTATTTATCACGGGAAATGTATTTATTGCCTAAACATGATGTGTCAATTTTTGATTATGATAAGAGATGTGCCAAATAAGTTTTCTTGAGGTTAAAATTGGCCAATTTTCCTTTTATTGGCGCTACTCAGCAAATCATACTGGAAACACGAGTAGTTTGTATCACTTTTTATGAATCAGCATTAATTCTTGGAATTTTTGGTCTATAAAGACATTATTATTTTTTTTTTTTACTTTTTTAGTTCATAAGTATAAAATAATGCTTAGGTGTTTTATTAAATAAATGCTAATCATTGCTGCAGCATTTTTATCTTAAATGGGGTATGCATTATTAAGCAAAGAAAGAAAAATCCCAAACGAAAGAAAAGAAGAAAAAAAATCAAGATCCGAGGTTCTAAAATCTATATTTCTCTATATTAGATCTATTAATCAAATATTTCCTTTCTAAAACTGTTCTATGTTAGTTGTTGATCTAGGATGCTTTATTTAAATTTCAAAAACTCAACCAAAACCATGAAAATGTGTTTTTAAAATTATATCAGAAAATAGATTTTAAGTTTTGAAATAACAAGAAATAGATTATTTTGTTAGCAAACATGGATAACTAAAGGTTTTTTCTATTAAAACCATGAAAGTGCTTAAAGTTAAATAAAAGAAGAAAACAAATTAAAAGCTATTTCCTTATTGCCTAATATATCTTGCCTTTTTTTATTTTGATTAAAGTGATATGCTTCTCTGCTTTCCAACATTGTAAATGATTGATTTTGTCAACAGAATAGTCTTTATAGAGCTTCTTCTTTAATAAAGGTCACGGCTTAGTGGTTCTTAGTGTAAGCACATGCCAGACCACTTCTCCCATCTCTCAGCCTCTATGCATACAGGGAACCAGTACTGTGCTATAGCAGCAGCTGCTGCTGCCAAAAGATACCAGTTTTATCTGTAGTCCTGCAGCCAAATCCATGCTAATACGTAATCTCTCCATCCTACCACCATGACTACCCCCAACCTCTCTGCCCCACATATCCATCTCCATCATTTCTGCATCATTTTGTTACACATTTATTTTTTTTCACATTTTTAATGAATAAAACTGACTTCATTCTTTTTGTTTTTTTTCCTGGCTATTTGTCCCTCTTTCTCTGGCCTCTTAAGCCTTACGAGGGACTAAAGATTCAGGATCTACGCCGACTGAAGGACATGCTGATAGTCGAGACTGCAGACATGCTGCAAGCTCCACTTTTCACTGCTGAAGCCCTGCTTCGAGCGCACGGTGTGATAATCACTCAGCCAAAGCGGATATTCTTCTAGAATATTTGCATACTGTTGGTTAAGTATTTTCTTTCTTCTGTCCAGATTGGGACAGAGAGAAGCTTCTGGAAGCCTGGATGTCTGATGCTGAAGGCTGCTGCCAGCGCTCCGGTGTCACCATGCCTACCCCTCCGCCCAGCGGCTACAATGCCTGGGATACATTGCCGTCTCCACGCACCCCTAGGACCCCACGCTCACCTTTGACGCTCACTCTCACTTCCCCCACTGACAGTTGCCTCACACCTGGAGAGGAGGGCCTTGCTACGGTGAGAAATAAGCGAAGAGTTCATGAGGATACTATGGGATGTGGAACCTGTCAAATGGGTTAATGGCAAAAGCAGGTAGATATCTCCTTTCTCTGGTGAAAGTGGAGGTATTTAACATCTCTCCTGCAGCCTCTCTTCTTTGCTCCCTCACTAAGAAATAGGCTTTGGTTGACTGTAGCTTTTAGGGGAAGTTACAATTGCAGATTCAGTGCAAATCATTCTTCTTTCAGAACATCCAACTGGGGGGAAAGGTTGTGAACGTTTTCAGACCTTAGGTGTTGAATGGGTTACAGAGTCCTTAACAGGGGTATTCCTATGGTCAGAACTTCGTTCCAGTAGAGACAGAATTTAAATTACCCTGACTGAATTTCTATTCATCTAACTTGAAATTAAATGCATTCATTTGAAAATGAATTTTACTAGATTTATTTTGCACTGATTAATTAAATTTGTCACAAGTTATCTGGCACAAAGAAAGATCTGGAACTTAAAACGGAAATACATTTTTAAAGCCAATTCAGTATCAATCCATGAAACTCTGTTTGTATTTAGTGCAATTCATTTTCAAGCTAATGCAGTTCATTTCAAATTATAACACAATATGGATTCGGTCGGGGTCTTTTCAAATGCAGTAATTGATGGTACAACTTTCTAACCATGGTAATCTTGCACCTTGAACTGGTTAAGGCAACTGCTGGTGGTACAAAAACAAATGTTTTATTTTAATTTATATTTATGACGGCACAAAGCGATAAATGATATGAAATGATTAAAAAATGATGCATCTTTATATTATCTATTTAAAAAGCTCCAATTTTAAAAACATTTCCAAAGGAAGCATTTAGAACATTTATATGGTGTCCTCCTTAAGTAATAAAACCCAGTAAAACAGTCACCTGTATGAGTCACCTATTTAGTAAACAGTTTACTAAATAAGTGACTTATTTAAGTTGTCTGACATTAGTTAGTTAGTATGGGGACTTATTTAAATCATATTAGGTGGATTAAATGTCACTTTTTTTTCCACCTGAGTATTACAACCTTGGGTGATTTTTATAGCGTCAGAATTGCTGCAAAGGCTTCAGAGGTTTGTTAGAGAACAAAAAAATATGAAGACAATGAAACAGAACAGACAGGTTGGTAGAAAAATGCTGGTTAATAAGAGAAGCAGCCAAAGGCCTCTGGAGGAGCTGCAGAGATCCACAGCTCAGGTGCCAGAATGTCTGTTAACTTTTACTTGAAAACTCCATAAATCTGACCTGTTTCTGAAAAACATGGTAGAATGAGAGCAGTTTGGGATGCTAAGCCATAAGGACTCCCATTAGCAAACATGCAGAGGAGGATGAAAATGTATATCTTTACCTTTACTTGTAAATTGCTTTGTCTGACAAAGAAACTAATACATCACCTGAAACCCACCATCCATATGGTTGAGTACGGTGGTGGGAGTATCATGCTATGGGGGTTGTTTTTGCTCCACCTACTTGTTAGAGGCTTCATGACTGGGTTTCACGTTGCAGCCCGACCCGTGTAAGCTACGTGTAAAGGATAATGCCCAGTGAGGCGTCCATGATCAGAAAATATTTCATGACGTGGAGTTATAAACAGCCTTTCACTTTGACTCAGACAGTTGCTTTCGGTCTATTCATTTCTGACAATAAACACCTAGTCAGCCATCATCCTGCTTAGTCCACTGATAATCAACTTATAATCAACTGAGTACACAGCTCAAATTTAAACAGAAGTCATTTTTATTTATTGAAAAAGAATGTATTTTCCTTTGATTTGAACAGATAAGAGAATTTGTCAATGGAAAATGATGATTTGGATTAGAAATAAGCACAAAACTTTATCTTATTTCAAATCTATAATATCTCTAATACTTATTTTAAGAGCAAAAGGCAAGAACAGTCGCTAAATGTCTTTTGGACAACTTCATTGTCTACTGTAATTTTTTTTTATTGATAAAGTTGTAGGTTTTTGACAAGAAGTACCTCAGTGATGTGTTTATTATATCTCTTGTTATGATGCGTTGCCAAAGCAACCAGCTGTGGCCTTAGAAGCAGCAGTGCGTCCACTGCGAATTAAGTAATTATAAAGTATTCCTTCAATGAAAGCCATCACATTAATTTCAAACAATCAGGCTATTGAGCACAACTTTTTTATAGGTGTCCTACCACGCTTTTTAATGATGCCCTGCAGCCAATCAGAATCAGGTATTCACCCTCACCATGGTATAAATAGATTTTAATGCAGGGAAATTAGGTGAAAACATGTTTAAAAGGACTAGTCAAAGTCCAACCATAAATCTAAGAGCAGCAAGACTTGAAAATGAATATATTCAAATGCAATATTTTGAAGAAAAGTTCGGAAAAATATTGTTGTGGATGTGCAAAGCTAGTAGAGCCATGATCAGAGTGATCGACCAATGTGTTGACTCAGGAAAAATGAAACCTTGTATAATTCTTCCTTCCCCCTAAGTTATTCCCCTCTTTGTTTTGCTCGGTCACACATAACGGAAATGAAATACTTGTGTTTGGTAACAATGAGACAAATGAACAATTTAAATACTGTTGCACAGTTGTATTGCTCCAAATAGTTATATAAGGAATAAAAATGCATTGCACTAATACAAAGCGAACAGTGTTAAAGCTTAGCGGAACTGTTCGATCATATGGATGAAATAATACTATGTAAACAAAGCAACTACAGATTATGACTCTCTTGTTTTCTCCTCACAGTGTGGCATCTGTCTCTGCTCCATCTCAGTTTTTGAAGACCCGATTGACATGTCCTGTGGTCATGAGTTCTGCAGATGCTGCTGGGAGGGGTAAGCTCCTCTGCTCTAGTGTGTAGATGTATTTGTGAGGTGAAAATCTGACCTTTTTTTACTTTTTGCTGTGTTTATCGTTTTTTCTTCAGGTTTCTTAATGTAAAGATTCAGGAAGGCGATGCTCACAATATCTTCTGCCCAGCCTATGAGTGTTACCAGCTGGTACCTGTTCATGTGATCGAGAGCGTGGTCTCTAGAGAGATGGATCAGCGGTACCTGCAGTTTGATATCAAGGTAGAAACGCTGTGTTCAGCTTATTACTGAAATCCTAGGATAAAAACACATATTTTTTAGGATAAAAATAAGATAAAATATCAGGATTTTATCAGAAAATATCAGGATAAAAATTCATATTATTCATATTTTGAGTTTGTGTATGTTTGCCTGTGTTTTGCAGGCCTTTGTGGAAAACAATCCATCTATCCGCTGGTGTCCTGCGGCTCGGTGTGAGCGAGCAGTGAGGCTCACCAGACCCGGCCCCGGAGACAGCGACCCCCACAGCTTCCCCCTGCTGCCATCTCCAGCTGTCGACTGTGGCAAGGGTCACCTGTTCTGCTGGTAAACACTGTTTTATTATTCTGCAGGCATGGATACATACCGACTCCCAAGAATCTGTGTTAACATCGTGAAAAAGGATTAACTTAATATTTAAGCTTGTGGTTTGACAAATTCTTTGATCTTTCTTTTGTATTTTAAAGAAACAAGCCACTTCTATGATGAATTATCTCATTCTCTGTGCTTTATTTCTGTTTCTCACCCTCCATGTCTGCAGGGAATGCCTCGGTGAGGCCCATGAGCCATGCGATTGTCAGATGTGGAGGAACTGGCTCCAGAAAGTCACAGAGATGAAGCCTGAGGAATGTAAGCCCATCCTTTTTTTTTTTTTTTTTCAGGAACTTTTACTTTAGTCCATTTGCTGCAGCTGTCAGATCTCCCTACCAGGAAGTCTCCAATAAATCTTTTGAACAGTCTGGCAGGTGTTCGGTTGTCTTACATCTGATTGACGGCAGAAATTTGGTTAATGTTTTTGGGCTTTTGTTTTGTTTTTTTACACAGTGGCAGGTGTGAGCGAGGCCTACGAGGACGCTGCAAACTGCCTGTGGTTGTTGACCAACTCCAAACCATGTGCCAACTGCAAGTCGCCCATTCAGAAGAATGAGGGCTGCAACCACATGCAGTGTGCCAAAGTAAGCAGCCAGTCCTCTGTTTGGACTGATTAGTGATTAAAGGATGATAGATTATAACTGTACTTGTTAGAGTCATATACAGTCTGGAAAGATCAAGAATTACATTTTAACAGTTTACAGGTGTGGATGAACATAGGAGGAAAAATGTCTTATTGGACTTTGATCCCTACTTTTGCAAAATGTGAGATTCCTATCGAATCACCCCTGCTTCAGTTGTTCCTCCCAGTCAATATTTCCTCCCTTAATCTCTCCTACATGACCTTCCTACTTTTTACCTTTTTTTAAGTTTTTCCTCTTGTCTATCAGCTATAGAAATATCTACCATCATTTCCTAGCTAATTTTAAAGCTTCAAAATGAAGATAGAAGCTTTTAATTTGGTAAGACTTTGTCTGTAAAACCATGAGATGAACCCTGCTGCCTGTTTCTCTCCATGCAGTGTAAATATGACTTCTGTTGGATATGCCTGGAGGAGTGGAAGAAACACAGCTCATCCACGGGAGGCTACTATCGCTGTACTCGCTATGAGATCATTCAGCAGCTAGAAGAGCAGTCCAAAGAGATGACTGTGGAGGTACAAGGACAAAACAGAGTTTATCTTTATACTTTATACATGCACCGGTAAATATTTATATCTATATATCACCTGAAACTCAATAAAATTTTAATTTCTTACCATGAATTGCACCCTAATTGCAAACTAAATGCTAACTATGCTCACAGCACAGATTGTGTTCAGTTATTTGTGGAAATTATTTTGAAAATATTTTAATCAGACATCTTACAATTGTTCTGCTACAACTAAGGACTGTTACATCTCTAGAGGATTCATAACCACATATTGGCCATTTGAATTAATTCTCCAAACCTTAATTTGACACCATCACCCTGTCATGCTGCTGGTGAAAATGCTCATGGTGTTTAGTTCTCTACAGCAAGGCTGAAAATGGTGGAGGAAGTGCAGAACCTTTCCATATTTACAGGGAGATTTCCAAAGATGATAAGGAAATATGTGATGCCGGTAGTGGTGAAAATATCAGGAAAAGCAGCAGAGAGAAACCAAACAATAGTGTGGTGCTTGCTTTCGCATTTGAAAGAGGCTCCAGTATAAATCCATTATATTAATGTCCAAATATCAACATGATTTCTTTAAAAAAATAAAACACATTTACCGGTACTACAGATCATGAAAACATTGCAAGTTTTTGATTACCGTAATTTTCGGACTATAAGACTCGACTTTTTCCCCATTTTTCGACCTTGTGGCTTATATAACAATGCAGCCTATCTATAGAATTTTATAGCTAACGGCCACTAGGGTAATACCTAAATCTATGGATTTTACCATCCACCATGTTGACGTCACATTTGCTGCAATACACAAGTACGGTAGCTGCGCGCGGGGGAATGCGGAGGTCCTCCGGAAGCAGACTTCTACCGCCAGTGGTACGAGACAGAATGACAACGAGAATGACGGACATTAAACATAAAAAACCTGCGGCTTATAGTCTGATGCGGCCTGTATATGTACAAATCATGCAATTTAGCTTCTGCGGCTTATATTGTGGTGCGGCTAATAGTCCGAAAATTACGGTAATTTTCATGCTTTTTCAGGCGGAGAAGAAGCACAAAAGTTTCCAAGAGCTGGACCGTTTCATGCACTACTACACTCGCTTCAAGAACCATGAACACAGCTACAAGGTATTGGACTCACATTTGAACAAGTTGGCCTCCTAAGACATCCTGCATGTTTTGTTTCGTATCTGTGACCTGCAAACTGTCTTTCCATAACTATGGGTCAGTTGGAGCAGAAGCTGCTGAAAACGGCTAAAGAGAAGATGGAGCAGCTGAGCAGAGCCCTGATTAGCCGTAAGAGTGAAAACCTGCATTCTTAATCTTTGTGTGTCTATCCTGTTTGAATAAGAGCACTAATATTTTCGTGTCCAGGTGAGGGAACTCCTCCAGACACCCGGTTTATTGAGGACGGTGTGACCGAGCTGCTGAAGACGCGGCGTGTGTTGAAGTGCTCTTACCCTTACGGCTTCTTTCTGCAGCACGGCAGCACGCAGAAAGAGATATTTGAACTTATGCAGGTAATCCATCTGATTTACAAAACGGGAAACCTTCTATAGCTTTCTGGAACAAGGTATTTTCATCTCTGTGGTTCTGTCTCTGCCAGACCGACCTGGAGATGGTGGTAGAGGATTTGGCTCAGAAAGTCAACCGGCCGTACCTCAGAACGCCACGGCACAAAATAATCAGCGCAGCGCGGCTGGTGCAGCAGAAGAGGCAGGAATTCTTGGCGTCAGTGGCCCGCGGTGTCGCTCCAAACGACTCTCCTGATCCTCCCCGCAGGAAGTTAGCAAACTTCTCTTTATTAACGGTTATGTTCTTGTTGCTTTATCATGAAGTTCACTGTACAGAGATGGCAGGCTGGACGTAAAGCTGCTAAAGTCTCTATAGATATGTATATTCACTCAAATTATTATTCTGTTGTTTAGAGCCTGTTTTTTTCGTTCTGTCTTTTCTATTCTTTTTCTGTCCTCACATTCCATCCATCCTTCTCTCCTTTATTCTGCTCCTCCCCTCCTTCCCTAATTTCTTTTATCGTTTCCTCCTTGTGTCTCTTTTACTTCCTTCCATCCTTTTCTATTGCTGGAGATCTGCCCTTAGTTTCTCTCCTCTTTCTTCCCTTCCTTTTTCTTGTGTCCTTCTTTCCTTTCTTATTATTCCTACCTTTCCTCTGTCCTTGTTTCCTTCTATGTTTCTTTTTGTGTCCTTTGGTCTTCCTTCCCCTTTTCTCTCTTGCGCCCTTCCTTCTGCCCTATTCTTTGTCTTACCTCCCTTCCTTTATTTTCATTTTTTCTGTGTCCTACCTCACTTCCTTTTTGTGTGATGTCTTTCATTCCTCCAACGCTTCATTATTTCTTTCCCTCTCTTCTCTTCCTTTCCACATGTATGTCTTACTTTTCTTTCTTTATTACCGCCCTTTCTTTATTGAACTTTTTGATTTTTCGAATTAAAGCCCATCACCAAGAAATGTCTTCCGTAATTCATATCAAGCTTTTCGATAGAGTTTTATAAATGAAAGACATGTGGGAACCTGTGTTTGTGTGTTTCAGTTACCCTGGGGGATCATGGGATTGGGAGTACCTCGGCTTTGCATCACCTGAGGTAGAAAAATTGCTGTTGTTTTTTTCATATTAAACTCTTTTTTTTCAGCAAAACATTTTCGTTCATGCTTCCTAAAGCTTCTGTCACACCTTGACAATTTAGACCAGCATATGCCTGACGTACCAAAAATCTGGCAAAAATGCTGGCATACTTTGTATAAGTTATGGGTATGTTTTGTATAAGTTATTAGCACGCTGACACACGTCGACATTTGGCAAATACATCTGATGTATGCCATATGTGGGCCATAAGTTGCAGATAAGTTATTTTGATCCTTGACTTACGTTAGCTGTAAGTTACTCATAAGTCGTGGTGTCTAGCTTATCCAAAACCTAGGAGTAACTTATGCAGAACTTATGCGTAATTTATCTTATCTCCAACGCATATCAATGTATCTGACGTGTTTCAGATGACCGGTGAACGTGTTTCTAACTTACAGCTACTGTATAATGGTGGATGGGCAGAGCTTTGGTTTAAAAGGGGGTTCACAGGAGGAAACCGTAAGTTCTCCTCCAGGCTTCATCCCCATCAGAGGGTGAGCGACTCTGCTGCGACTGCAAACCTTCTTTCTTTTTTCTTTCTTTCTTTCTTTTTCCTTTTCCTTTTTATTTATTTCTTTTTGGCAGGTGGCAAACGGTTAAAACTGCGATCAAAAGCTTCTCTTTATGCAGACCGGGCGTCTCCAGGGTCCTGAGGGGAGCAGCTTTAACTGATGCTTCGTAATGTCCATGAAATGATGCACAAGCATTATGCATAAGTTAGGCTGTTGTTGGACATACGTTCTGTATTTGTTATGAATGCGCTCTGTATATGCCCAAAATTGTAAAAAAAAAAAATACATAAAAATTCAGTGTATTTCAGCATTTTAGGAGATTCTGGGATGTCGGGCATACACTGGCTAAATCGGAAAGGTGTGACAGGGCCCTAACCTTTACTGACCTGCTGGTGGTGCATGATGTCCTAACGCATGGATGCAGCTGACGTAGTTTGCTTATGTGTGTTAAGATGGGAAGCCGTCACTCTGTACTGGGACCAGGAGATCACAGAGAGAGACAGTCACAGGTAATGCACCAAAGCTCTTTGGCATAATGTGCGAATGCATGGCTTCAATTCTGTCTCCTGTGACCGCACACCTGCTCATTATTGGACTTGATTATGAGACACCTGCTCTGAGGTGGTTAGTAAAACCCAGACACAACGGCTCTCTGCAGGATTACGCTGACATCCAGTACCGTCGTAGACACAGACCACGGCGCAGAGGAGACATGCTGAGTCTGCACAACCTCCGAAGCAGCAGCAACACGCCGGAGACCAGCAGGAGGAGTGATAACACAGGTCCTGCAGCAGCTCCTCTCAACCACAAACTTACATCTACTTTATTAGCATTTTATGTGATGTTTATAAACACAGTACTGATGGATTCTAAAGCAGAAGGAAAATATTTTCTTTATTGATTGTACTAATATGTATTCAGCCTTCCAGATGAAATGTTTCATATTGTGTTTTTTGGGGCTTTGCTCATACAACAAATCATCGTTCTTTGTTGAATATTTAGGTTTTCACTTTTGTTCATATGGGGGGAGACTTGTCTAATTTTTAAGAAATGCCTGTTCAATTTATTTTCTCTCTTTGATGTATAACTAATATTTCAGAGCAGCAGACAGCCAGCAAATAGGATTTTACTTTATTGCTCCATTAATCTGGTTCAATCAAAACGCGCAGAAGCTTTGATCACTTTTATCGATTCATCCTCCAGAGGAGTATGAAGCCTGCGCTGAACCTGGTGTTTTTGTTTCAGATCCCACAGAAAGAACCGAAGGTCGCAGGAGAGCGCTGGGCTCCCTCGACGAAGACGACCCAAACATCCTTCTCGCCATCCAGCTGTCGCTCCAGGATTCCCGGAGGGAGCAGGGCCTGGAGGGAGGAACGGAGCTGGAGCACGACGGAGGACTGGAAAGAAGGCCGGGTCCTGATCTGGCCGACGCTTCCTTACACACGCTTAGCATGGAGGATCCTCCTGGAGCCCGAGGTTCATCCTTTCCCACCTCCCTCCTGGATCCTCCGCGGCCCCCAAACAGGACAGACTCCACCTCACAGCCATCTATTCTAAGCTCCCTCCCCCTGCCTCCCCCTCCTCCCACCCTCAGCGCAGAGCTGCTGGAGCTGGGAGACAGCCTTATGAAACTGGGGAACATAACCACTCCTCACAACATGGACACAGAGCCTACATGCAGCCACAGTGCGCTGACCGCTCCTTCCAGCGACTGCAGCCACAGAGTAGACCACAACACATCAGCTCAACGTGTGCTGGATCATATCTCAATCACAGATCCTCATCCTGACAGCAAAGAGCAGAGCTACAGTAGCTCCTCTGTTTATTCGGCTGAGGGTGAACCCCCTCCCTCCTGTGCACTGGACTGCACTCATAACCCCCTTCATGCTAGTCTGTATAACCGGGGTCATAACACAGGGGACTGCTCCTACCAGCCAGGTAGCTCCTACACTGCAGAGCATCCTTCCACCTATGCTCTGGACCAGCCGCCCAGGCCAGAGCTTCAGCCTCCCATCCAGTTGTGCCTCCCATCACCAGAGCCAGAGCCAGACCTGCTGCTGTCCCCAGTTATTCCGCCGGGGGCCCCTTTCACTCCCAGTGACCCTCAGAGTCTAGAGGCTTTGGACCCCACAGCAAGCGCTCAGCTGCTGGACAACATCATGGCCTGGTTCAACAACAACATAAACCCCCAGAACAACCCGCAGAACCTGGCTCTCATCCCGTCCCCGCCTACCACAGAAACGGACTCCTCCCCCGACACGCACACCGAGGCCGAGAGGGAAAGGACCAGCGCCCCGGTATGGCAGCCCCTGGAGGGCAAGCCTGACGCAGCGGAGGGCAGAGACGCCCCAAAAAGGTCGAGGCCTGACTCTCTGGAGCTGGAAAATAGAGACGTCGTGGAGGAGGGTGTGAGCAGGGGGTGTGTGTCGGACCTGTCGCTGGACGAAGTGCACACACACCCGCGGTCACACAGCCAGCACGGGGACAGCCTTCCTCACTCTGGCCCAGCCACAGAGGGGGACGCAGACGCCGTGCTGCAGCTGGAGGGGGGAGGGTCACCGGCGGAGTGGGAGGAGCAGGAACACTTGGTGTGACGCAGAGAGGAGCGGTCACCGGATGTACCATACTGTATTTAAAGATGATGTCACACACAGGCTGGATGTTTTAAGTGCTTTGCGTCTGCTTCAGAAACAGACGAATTATTCATTCAGACAAAATAAGTTTTGGAGAAAAAAGCTGTTTATATCAGAACACATGAACCACTCCATAGTTTTATTTAAATTGTTCATTTTCCTCCTGCTTCTCGTATTTATGTTCTCTGTTTGTTAAGGATGAAGGGTTGGTGCTGCAATCCAAGCTTGCCTCATGCTTTAAAACTCTCGGCTGATTGATTGAATAGCTGACAGACGACCCTAACCCGTTCTATCCCAGAGACCACAATCAGAGAGGTGTCCTTCGGATACCTGTGCCTGTTGTTGGTGCCAACACTGCCTCCTCACAGGAAGGTATTTGCTCAAAGGCACTTCTAAAGGGCGGATTATACTTCTGCAACCGCACACATCAAATGTCGCTTGGGTCTGGTTGCAAACCAGTTTTGCTGGTATGCTTCTGCAAGGTCGGTCTGGAATTTCTAGGGACGCACAGAAGTTTCCCACCAAAGCGCTAGGGGGAGCCTATTCGAGAACGTCGGCGGATGGTCACGAAAATTTCTTTAGCAGCGCAGGCAGGAGTGTTTATTTTCCAAAACAACATGTCTGAGGCATCGTACAACTAGTTATACTCCTCGATCAACCTTTCGTCATGGTTATCCATTGCCGTTATTACACCTCAGTTTCTAAAAATGGCGCCCCGGCACTGAATCTAGAAGGACGACCACACAGACAGCCAGACAGGCATACCAAGGATCAATCACGGCTGCCTATTGTCTACGCACTTCCGCTTGCTGTCTGCGTGGGTTTGCGACCGTCCGACGTGTAGTCAGGATTTTTTTTGAGGTGCGCAACGACGGTTGCAGAACCTCTGCATTGGGGGTGTGGTCGCGCACAGAGACAGATTTGACGGTTGCAGAGGCTATGCGTCGGAAGTATAAATTGGCCTTAATGTAAGATCATTTCAAAGCATCTGGAGATAAGCAGAGTTTAGACACACACTCGCCATTCAGGTCATCGTCACATTGGTTTGGGGATTTTTAATGATTGATTGATTGATTTAGTTTATTTTCCTCTTTGCAATGATTCTTCTAAACATCATTAGTAGTTTTCTTTTAAGTGTTAAATGACTCCATTTGAATGAAGGAGATCAGAATCACCTTTATTGGCCCAAGTACGTACATAGTCCAAATTATCCAGATAAAGGGCATCAGACACTTGAGTCACTATTTCTAGCCGTTTGCAGGTTTTCTGCATTTTTCTTTTTAGGTCAGATATTAAATTCTAGTGTTGAATTAACTAGTTTGACTAGTTTTAAATGTTTCCTTTTTAATCCTGTCTTATACACTGCTGTCAGTGAAACAGGCCCGCTGCATGATGCTACCTCCACCGTGCCTCACAGCAGAGGTTAAAAACCTCATGGAGCCCTTCAAATAAGCTTCTTCTTGTCATTTTAGCCAAATACTTCAGCCACCATCTGCTTTGAAAGTATTTTCCTTTCTTCTTAAGGTAAAATATTTTACTAGCTTCCTGTCGGAGGGTAGCACTATGTTTCCATCCTTTTGGGGGGCTTCCTGGGTTGGATTCAAGAATCCAAACAAACATCCTCATTGTTGTATTCCAAAAAGGGTGACGATCTTAAACTTAATCACCTTTATTTCAAAGTTTATATTTGGACTGATATTAATAAGATGTCCCATTTCTGATGACTAAAGCAGTGTTGTCGGAAAATTTTATTTCTCTTATTTCATATATTAATTTATCCTATTTACTCACTATAAAAGTGAGTCAAATATGCATCCAGCTTGTTGACGGCTACAAAAAGCATGCTGGCAAGGCACAACTAAGAAAACCTACATTTGAAAGAAACATCCTCCAAAGATTTGTTTTTGAAATCATTAAAGTTATATATTGTTCTTTTCACTTGAAAATGGCTGAGTGAATCATTAAATCCCCAAATCATTATGACGTTCAGCTGCACCTTACTTTGGCTCCAAATTTCGATCTGCAAAACTCTGAGGTTTGCAGCGTAGCTCAGGTCGTTTCCTACAGCGCGCAACAATTTGCCCTCAGCTTATCTTCAGCTTCAAACAGCAACTGAAGCCAGAAACCTTAAACTGTTACCACAAGTATGATCAGAGTTTTAAGGGAGCCACATTTCAAGTAAATGAAATTAAAATATTTAATGTAGAACAATTTAAAAAAGGATTTGATTGGAACATGTTGATTGTGATGTCATTTAAAATGTGGCTGCTGATTGGAGGAAGAAAACAGCATCCATTGCTTTGCTTTCTGATATAAAACTTTATTAAGTTTCGTTATTTTAACATTCAGTTTTAGAACCTCACACTACAGCAAAATTAATTTCATGCATTATATTTCTTTATTTTCATTTCTAGGCGGGGGGGCTTAATGCAATTTAATTGCTAGTTTAGATATATTATCTCAGTTTACTGTGTTCTGCCTGATTTAAGAGTTTTTGCACATAATCTCTGAGAAGAAGTTACGGTTCATCCTCTGCATGTGAAAGCAGATCCCATTTCCTCCATCTGGTCCAGTGGACTGTAATCGATTGGAAGTTGGTTGGGAATTTTACTGTAATTTATCCTTTATTAATCAAAACAGAGAAGATCTTTCTGGTTAAGACCAGAGTTTAATGGTCTGTGTGCCTTTTTATTTCCCTGTATAGGTTTGTATTTATTATAGTTTTTTGCTTTTCAAACCTGCAAAGATTTTATTTAAAGAAAACAGAACACTTCATTTCACTTCTGAGCCCCACAACAACAGGTTGATCTCAGTCCATCTGAGGCTGTTTTTTCTTTTAGAGAGTTTTACGCTATAAGAGCAACAGGTTTATCTAAATGATATATTTTATTTATTTCTTTTTTTTTTCCCAGTCAGGCTAGATCTTTACAGCATTAATGCCCTGCTGGGATGTTTACAGAAGATTCAAACACTGCCTGCTGTGGTGCTTTAATCAAACCTTCATGGCTGGAGATTTGAACCAGTGAGGTTGTGTCCTTTGGTTTGAATTTCAAGCCTGAAACAGGAGGTTTGAAGTGCTTAAAAACCGGAAAGAAACGGTTTTCTTCTGCATTTTCAGAAAGATTAGAGAAACTGGTTTGAGGCCTGATGTTTCACATTCAGGTCGCCGCCCCTACAGGTTGGTTTTCTCTTACGCCGTAAAACAATAGAAGCACTGAATCTGGATTATCTGTTCTCCACCAGCTGGAGAAAGGATTATTTATTTTTCAAGTAGAAGTGGGTTGTTTGTGTTGAGTAATTGTCCAGTGCCATCTTGTACCCCTCCCTTTGTATTTTTAAATAATTTCTCTGAACCAACACCTTCATGATTTGGGGAAAAAGAAATGAAAATGCACTCATTGATTTTACTTAATACATTCCCACCTGGTTTTAAGAAAGGTTCAATGTGTGGCCAAATCTACAAGTGAAAGTGTCCGTGCAGAGTTTACTCAATAAAAAGAAATGAAAATATGTTGCTGTGTTTTCCTGGAGTTCATTCACTGCATTAATTTTATTAGAACAAACAAAAGAAAATGATCAAACTATATAGATTAAAGAAACATTACATCTATAAGAAAATGGTAGAAGCTGACTGAAGATGCTCATTGGAAAAGTTCAGTGAAGTGGGGCTGTTAAAATATTTAAAGCTACATCAACAAATCTAAAGCCCACTGTTTATTATAACATAATAGTTAACCATTTTAAATCTATCAGCCGAAAAACAACCTTTTAAGTTCAAATGCGTCAGATTGCATGAGACGGCTTATCAGAGCTGTGTTTTTTGTTTTTTAGTTGCTTGTCTTATCAAACCCCTCCTCCTGTAAGGCTGCAGCAAAATTCCATCCATTTTCCGTCACGCTTTATCCCAGCTGGGGTCATGAGGGATGCTGGTGCCTATCTCCAGCTGTCTATGGGCGAGAGGCAGGGTACACCCTGGACAGGTCGCCAGGCCATCACATGCTCAGGGAGAACATGCAAACTCTATGCAGAAAGAAACCAGGCTGGGAATTGAACCCAGAACCTTCTTGCTGCAAGTCAGCAGTTCTATCCACTGTTCCACTGAGAGGTAAAATTACTCAAAATAAATCTATTTTTCTGCAGTGAGGAGGTGTAGGTGTGACAGTGGCTAAAGCAATTAAACAGAAGTACTGATATGAATAAAAGCTAATTTAAACTGGGCAGTGGAAAAATGTAGAATAAAAAAAAAATACTTTGTAGCTATTGATACCAAATGCATTTTCAGGAAAAAAAAAAGCGCTCAAGCTAATCAAACCCTCTGCCTTCTCAAGCATTAGCAGGTTTTCAAAAACCATTTTGGGCCACTTAGGAGCAGCTAGATGGAAGGATCTATAGAAGAGCAACAGTAAAAGACAGCAGTGAAACCAAACTATTTCTGCAGCAGCAAGTCAGATGAAAATTAAATGGCCACCTGCATCTGACTTGGAATGTGCTTAAGAGGATGGACCTCCATGCTGCTTAAATATATCAGCGCTTTAGGTAGAGATTGCTTTCGTGTGAGCCATCAGAATTGATAGATTCCTGGGTAGGTGTCGAAACTGAGATTAAGTCCGGTTGAGTTCTAATTAAGCCTGTTTAGTGGTTGGTATGACCCAGGTGACGGTTTTTAAAAGTGGAAAATGAAATAAAGTATAAATACTCCTAAAAGTATTTTTTTTTCTAAGGTCAACCAAGAAAATGTAACAAGTTATTAGACAATTCTTTTGGATGATATTTTAAAGAGGAGACTACAAAATTAGAATAGCAAATTACCCAGGTACTGATAAATATAAGAAATTTAAAATTCAAACTGATGGTTTTTTTTTTAAACTGTTTAAAGTAAGCAAGAAGGAGGTACAGTAAAATGAGTAATACTTTGAGAGTCTCTAGGAAGTAAAATTTATACAGGACTTTTATTTAACTTATGAACATTAAAAGAACGTAAAATACTTTGAACAATTACCATTTAGGTCATAAATGAGTGAGAACTACTTCCTTTTAAGAAACACCAGAAGAAAACACTCAAACCTTATGGAGGAATAGAAGATAAGACATGTATCATTTTTAATTAAATCTTAATTTGATAATAATTATTAATTAATTATAATAATTAAATCTTCAATATTTTATTGAAATGTTGAAGAAAATTACTAATAAGGCTGTTTTGGGCGGAAAAAGTAAGAGAAAGATAAAGGTCATACATCTTCTAGCAAAGAAAAAAACGCAAAATCAAAAGTAAAAAAAAGACTTTGTACCAAGTTACACATAAATAAATATGTATATAAATAAAAAATCTATATATGTGTTAATGGCCTCATTTCTACCACTAGGTGGCAGTAGTTCATAACGTCTCCTCTTCTTAGTAGCCGCTTGATGACGCCACATCCCTGAACGTTTCTTCTACGTACAACAGCGGCCTGTGTTTTCACTCGATCGCTGTAATTTTTCTCTTCAGTGGAGGATTTTACTCTGCTGTTTGCTACCACCATGAAACTAGTCAGGTAGGCGGCAGCGGGGGGTCACCCTCTAACCTGTGCGGGAATATGGGATGAGAAAACCGAGCCGATGCGGACGGATGGGTTAGGATTAGAGGTGAACCGATGGTGAAGAGGCGGGAAGAGCTCGGAAATGAATGGAGTCTGTCTTGTGTTACGACTAACAACTTGGGGCAAATTAAAAAGCGTTAGGGGTACAGAGACGTCAGGTTCCATGGGGTTTAAAATATCTGGAAATATCCTGAATGCAGGTGTTAATCTTTTAGGCTAGGATAAGGTTATGTTAATGCTAGCTTAACATCGGTACATTAGCATTGGCCTATTAATTGGTGTCTCTTTCTGCTTCGCGTGATCTGTAAACAAAGCAAATGTTTTTTTTTTTTTTTGTATAAACATTTTATTTGTTTGAATGTATCCGTTTGTTTCGGGATTTATTGCATTAAAAATTACACCAGTTAACCAGTCTGATGACCATGCTAATGCTAGGCTCAACAACAACAATCCCTTAAATCCAGGTGTTTTATTTGTTATGTTCACAGGTTTTTGATGAAGCTCAGCCATGAGACTGTGACCATTGAACTGAAGAATGGAACCCAGGTTCATGGCACCATCACAGGTAAGAACAAAGCTGGTTTACATGACCTTTTACATGTCCCACAGTGTAATGGTAGAAACATTTAAATCAAAGATAACCAAACTTTATAAATCTGTATGAAGGTATATTTACACATTTTACAACTCATATAGGTTGCAGTGAGGTTTACACAAAAATAAAAGTGCATCAAGACGATGGAATGCCAAAGCAAAAGCTGTGTTGAGACATACCAATCCTATGGTCGATTTTTAAATATTCAGCAACCATTATATTACTCCACTGTAAACATTTAAGTAATAAAGGACTCTTATTTCACTGAAAAAGTCCTCAGTCTGACATTTAACAATTACATTATTTATTTTTTTATATATATATATAACTAAGCTTTTTACAAACCATTATTGGTGGATATATTTAAAAGGTAAATGCTGAAAATCTTTTAAAACCGGAGTTACAGATATGGGTGCTGCCATATTTATCAATTTAGTTTGTGGTTATTGAATTTTCTACAAGACAGTGCTGCACAGTGGAGCATTTTTTAGCACTGTTACCTTGCACAAAGGGTTTGATTCCCAGCCATGGGTCTTTCTGTATAGAGTTTGCCTAATCTCCCTGTGCATGTGTGGGTTCTCTCTGGATACTCCAGTGTCCACCCATATTCTAAAAACATGACTGTAAGGTTAAATATGGGAGGGTTGCGTCCCTGTGCTGCCCTGCAATGGTCAAGCAACCTATCCAGGGTGTGCCCCACTTTTCACCAATAGACTGTTGGAGATCTGGGACTCCTACAGAATAAGCAGGAGAAGATGGGTGGGTGGGACAAGACTGTTTTCTGCAACAGACTCTGAGTTATGCCATTGAATGTGTAGTTATTTAAAACTGTTATTTCCAAGCAGGTAGTCTTCCCAGTTTAAGCTGTGCTGAAATTGGCATTTCAAAACATTAGTTTAATAGATAAGCCTAAATACCTCTTTTATCATTAAACAAGCAGTAGCGGCTTATCTCTTGTACCTTATCAGGTATACTCTGTTGAATATGAAATCTTGATTAAAATATAAACTAGGAAAACATCTAAACTATTTTCAGTGTGACAGAGGCTGGTTTGTTTGTGCCTCATTATTATTTTCTTTTTTACTTGATGTTCAGAAATCTGTTGCAAGCATACTTAATGCGCTGATTTTGGTGACTTTGCTTTTCAGGGGTTTATATGTTCTTTTATTTCCTTCCATAGGTGTTGATGTGAGCATGAATACCCACCTGAAGGCGGTGAAGATGACCCTGAAGAACAGGGAGCCCACTCAGCTGGAGTCGCTGAGCATCAGAGGCAACAACATCCGCTACTTCATCCTGCCAGACAGCCTTCCTCTGGACACCTTGCTGGTGGATATCGAGCCTAAGATAAAATCTAAGAAGAGAGAAGCAGGTAAGGGGGAGGGGGAAAGGAGGTTTGCTTTTCCTGCTGCCTTGACACCATTGATATATTCTTCATTTTCCTTATTCCTATACCGACCTTGCCTTGGACAGTTGCAGAGTTCAGCTCATCTTGTTTTAGGCCAATGGTTCCCAAACTTAACTTTCTAGACTCGCCATTTCCTTTCCAAAAAAGTTTTCACAGCTTCTGAAATACCCTCTACCTCCCAAAGGGTTCAATAGTTCAAGAAAAGTTAACTGCAATAAGTAATTAATGAAAGTTAACCTGTTTAACAAAATTCAGTATTGTCAATTAAAAAAATGTCTAAAATTATTCATTTAAACAGTTTGTTTTACCAAGGCCCCCCTTGGGCCTCTTAGGGGGTGTGTTCCTCACTTTAGGAACCTCTGTTGCTGTCCATTGAGTCAGTGGCTGTGAGAGTTTGACTTTTTCTCTCCATTGTTCTTAAATGGGTTGGTCTTTGTTTGGAAGCACCTGGATCGCCTCCCTGAGGGCAGCAGGTTAAAAAGAAAAATACAAAACTAGAGTGGGAGCTGTCCTTTGTAATGTTTTGACCTCTGCTGATGCAGCAGGATGTGTAAATGTCCATCTGGGAGGAGAAGAGTGGGGGCGTCTCACACCTCATTTCATTATAAGATTTCAGAAATTTTTGGTAAAATTATCTCTGTAAATGTGTTGCCCTTCCCAATCATTTTAGTCACAGTTGATTGAATGAACGGAGTAAATGCTAGGGCTCTGAACAAGTGTCATATAGTTTATCAACCTTTCATTTGTTAGCCTATAGAGTATTTCATTTGTTCCGTGATTCGGTTTGAAATGGGTATCCTAAATGCAGTATTAGGTTTAAAGGGTACAGTGGTTTTCGTTAACTACATTTAAAGAAATAATCTGTTTAATCTTCACATAAAGTGATCAAATGTTTTCATCTGTCCACTCAGTGGCAGGGCGGGGACGAGGCAGGGGACGTGGACGTGGGAGAGGAAGAGGACGAGGGCGAGGAGGACCGAGGAGATGATCATCTGGTCTTTCTGGTTTTTCTCATTGTTTCACTGTTTGTACAGGATTTTCCTTTTTTTTCCATTCAGAGAAAATGATTTGTGAATTTCAGTGTGTTTTTCTTTTTTTGTACAATAAAACAAGATGACAAAGAGCTCCTCTTTTGTTTTGTTTTTAACAATGTTTAAGATGTTTTGTTTTGCACATAAAGGGCAATATAGTTTTTTTCGGGGGGGGGGGCTTTATCAGTAAAAAAAAAATTATTTCAACTTCCTAAATAAAAAATAAAATGAGCAGTTTTTGTTTCCCTCAATTTTTTGACTGATTAAAAAAAAAAACGTTTTTGTCCTTGTAAACAATAGCTGAGAGACGTTCAGCTTATGAACTTCTTTGTTATTAATTTGCTAGATTCAATCATTGGTTTTTATTGCTCTAAATCTGACCAAAAATATGTTCACTTATAGCCAGTAAAAGTCAATGCTGCTCTGCATAAAGGCAGTTGAGTTCGTAGTAAGCTTGAAAAGGAAAAGGTTTTATTAAAATACAACTAGATGCCCTCCTGTGAGTCAATTATTGGTTAA